TTATCATAATATATTAATATACGGTTCAAAACTTATCATTATAGTTTAAATTTTGTAAATATTACCTTTTGCATTACTTATTATACACATTTAAATATTAAAATATAAACAAATGATCAAACCACTTAAATAACTCAATGATCAAGTGAGACCATGGCCTTTATAACCATGAGACCTTGGGTTCAAATCTTCACATCCTTAAAAGTATCTTGTGGTTTATTTCAATGTAAGTTCGGTTCCAAGGCTAGTTCCACCAAAGCCAACCAAAGCTAGTTCATTAATAGGTCAATTTAGGTAAGGAAAACCCCTAGACCCTAAAACTGGCTTGGATGGGGATTGTTTCCAAGAATTTGGAACCAGATCTTACCCTATAACAAATTTGATATAGCTGGTTCAAGGCCGGTTCAAAATCGATTTCATTTGGTTCTAAGTAAAACCCACCCATTTCCCTCTCATTTTCTACTTGTTTCCTATCAAAATGGTAAAATTCAACATCCAAAAAATTAAGATATAATTCCACTTTTTCCCATCCCATATCATGACATTCCATAACTCAAATATAAAAAGAAAAGAAGGATATTCAAGAATACTAAAGAATCCATATGGGTATCTCAGCATGAAATCAAACAGGTTTTTGGTTTTCTTTGGAGTTGTAATTATTATGACTTTGAATTTTAAAGATTTGAAGGAGTCACGGGCATATTGTCCTGCGTGAATGAGACTTATCCTTAATTCTTTATTTTTTTTATTATTATATTCTCAATTGGTGATATACGGCCAGGCAATGCCATATGATAGGNCCCCAAAAAAAAAATAAATAAATAAATAAAATAAAATAAAATAATGGAACTAGATATCCAACATTTAATAATTTTTTAAAATAATAAAATAACGCAACTATATCCATGTTGCGTGGTTGTTTCAATAATTTTTTAAACAAACAAAGGATGTTGGGTTGGACGTAAGAGCCCCCTCCATTGCTGGCCTGCCAAGAAAAGAATGACAAAAACAAATCCTGGTTTTTCGGTTTGGGATTGAGAGAGTTTTTATGCCCAAAATATCCTGAATGTTTGTAATTGTTGTCCTTTGCAGACCCCTATCTGCAAGGTTTTGTATTCTTGTGGCTAGTAATTAACTATCCCCTGTTTAACAGTTTAAGGCAAATATTGGGTCTAGGTCTATGGGACACAGAACACAAAAGGGATCTAGGCTCATGCAACCCAGTCACCCACCATTGAATGCGCTGTTTTATTAGATTAAGGTTATGTTTGGGAGTGCTTAAATTAAAAACAAGTGTTTATTCAAATAAGTATTTATTTGTATTTGGTATACATTTTTTGTCTTTCTTTTTTTTTTCAAATTTTCAAAATATACCATTTGACAACACTTTTAAGAAAATACTTTTATGAAATCTTTTTTACAAAAATAATTTTATAAAGTGTTTTCATAAAAGTATTTTCGTAAAAATGCTTTTATAAAATTACTTTTATAAAAGTTTTTTCATAAAAATACTTTTATAAAATTCAATTAGGGATAATTTTATAAGTGGTATTTTAAAATTCAATAAGGATAATTTTGGAAGAAAAAAATTGAAAAGTACTTAAAAAAAGCTAAAATTTTGGGTTTAAAAAACAAGCTCTTATTTTTAAAATAAGTACTTATTTTGGGCTTATTTCCCAAATACCAATAAGTGCTTAATAGCTCAACTAAATACTTATTTTAAATAAGCACTTATTTTTAAGCACTCTCAAACATGGCCTAAGCCAATATTTGGGAGTGCTTTTTTGATAAATAAGTGCTTATCCTAAATTACACTCATGAATGTTTGTTGAAAAATCAATTATTTCAAATAGAGATAGTATAGGCATTTTTAAAAGGCTTCAACTATGATATGGAAATGATATGATATCCAAAAAACAAGTGACCAATAAACTGAAAACATAAACGTGGTAGCAAATAAAGTGTTATTTATCAAAATTCATGATATGTTTTGATTGGTCAAAACTCTTTCCATACCATATCTTTTCCATACATAAATTTTCCCTTTTTAAAATAATGTAGTGGCGAGGATAGGCCAGAAATGAAATGAGCATTTATATAAAATAAAAAGATTTAATTGAGCTTATTTTTCAAATGTAAATAAGTACTTTTTAATATGGTTTTCATTCAAAATAAGTGCTTATTTAAATAATTAGTTAAAATAAGCAATCCGAAACTTAGCCTAAAGGTATCCATTTGTCGATGCTGGATGGTGAATGAAAATCTATTAAGATTCTTGGAAATTTTAAAAAATAATGCATGAATCAAATGGTTGGAATTCGTGTGGTGATGCTGATTTTTGGTGTAAGTCCTGTCCCAGATGAGTTCACTTTGGTTCAATCGTCTCTGTGAGTATTTTCTCATAGGGACCAATAGGATGATCCAGCATCAAAAGGGTGAGTGGTCCATGTCAGATTGGAGCTTAGCATTCTCTGTCAAAGTTAGAGTGGACCACCCTTTGATGTAGGATCGCCTATCTCATCACCGTCCATGAGAAAACGCTCATACAAGCAATGAAACTAAATTGAACTCGTCCTAGTTGGCAATCATCCAATGAGATGTTCACACATCTGACCATACATTTGCCAAGTCATCAGCACTCTCTGAACCCTAAATGGAAACTTTCTATGAGCCCTGGGATAACGTTTTCTTGTAATTCTGTGGGATCAAAGGTCCTCTTGTGTGCCCTGTCTCTATCATACTAGTCAGTATCTTTTGGTCTAGTGGGTTTCTTAGTCGTCATCGTCATGCTCATGTAAAATTTGTTTATTGATCAAGTGGTAGACATAAAAATGTTAAATCCATTACATAATTACTCAGTCAACATACCTAAGCTCATCGATACGGCGACTTTATTCTCATAGTTAATTCTCCTCCTCACATCATCGAATTCGAACGTCGAACCTACCTTTGCCCTAACAACTTTGGTTGCAATATTACAAAGCCTAGTGCCCATTGAAGGGCTGGCCCATTACTAGGTATCCATTATCCAATATGGTTGTAGACTCCTAGTGGGTTTGTAGAGTAGTTACCTGTCACGAAGACAAGTTCAATATCTGAATTGATTAGAGTTTTCAGATTTAGGATTTATTTTAGAAGAATGACTATTCAGTCCATCTTATAATTTTTAATCTCACTGGTGGAATGAATTTTGACCATTGTCAAATTTACATGTTGGATGCGATTCATACGAGGACTATTAATAGAGGATGCGAGATATAATTTTAAAATTCTGCAGTGAGATACAATATAATTATCCATGTTTATTTTTACCAACCCCAAACATGATTGTGTGTGTGCTTTTGTTGTGGGGCAGGTGAGGGCAAGTAGGGCAAGTAAGGCAGTTAGTGTCGTCAATGATTTCATGAAAAGAAAAGAGCCATTTATTTCATCCTTGGAAAAACCTGGGTCATTGATTTTGGTAATTAAACCCTACAGCCTGATGCCTACGTGGCATTTCTTCAACCATTAGATTGGTGTCCAAGGAAACACAATTTTACCCAAGATCGGGCACGGCTGCATGGGTGCCAAGTAAATCCCTATCAGTTTGTTAAGAATTGAATCCTTGCATTATTGACTCCTTGTTGGATGGGAGTATTTATTGAGGCAAATTATTGACTTGGGTACAATAATTTGGATTGATACAATTCATATAAACAAATGGAGGGGCTCCAGTGCTCCACTCTAGCGACCATCATATGTTTGGATGCTGTGTCGAGCTTTAAGTTGTGTTTGGATTGTGGGGTTGGAAAGGGATGTTGTTTCACTCTTGTTTGGAGTGTAAAAAGATCGGATGGAATTAAAAGCAGGGTATATTCAAATCCGATTCAAAGTTTCAATTGGATCATACAAATATATATTTGAATTTGAATTCATTAATAATGCCGAATATTCGAATATGATCCAATCTGATTTAAGTTATTAAAAATTAAAATATATATATATATATATAACAATTTATATGAAGAAAAAAAAATACAAATATTTTCTTCAACTATTTTCATCACATGTATATATGTGTTTTTACATCCAATAGAAATATATCCAAATTCAACAAAATAGGATCAAATTTCAGAACCATGATTCCATCCATTTGCACCCCTAACTCTTACACAATTTACTGCAATTCAAATTACCACCACCCACTCCTGACTCCAAATTCCATTCACCCTATTAATCCAAACGAAGGAGTTTATACGAGTGGGCATTTGGTTGCCAGCGCCACTCTTTCACACCCAAAGAACAGATCATTCATGTTGTGTCACTTAGATGGAAATATAAAGGACCAAGTATGGACCAGTTTTGCAATTTTATCCAAAGAGTGGCTAATCTCTTGTGTATTTTTCTGGCCCACATTTCAAGGAGGCTCTTGGAGTTAAATAAAAATCATTCACTTCTCCTTACAGCCAAGCACTCGCTAAGAACAACCCTTTGCTCCACTGCCATCTCAATCTCTTGTGGGCCACATGCACACAGCTATCATTTACTTAGTTTCAATGTTTCATTATTCACTGGGCTGCCATTTAAACCCAGCCTAAATTAACAGAAATGCTTGATGTGATCAGGATAGTAGTAGGATAGAGCTGGAACCCATGCTCAAAGTTGTAGACCCTGTGAAAAAATCCATGAAATTGGAATCTGAATTTTTGTTGAAGATGCTTGATAAGATTAAGGAAACTTTACAGTGAAACCCATCTCTTCCATTTTATATAAATCCTGAGAGTAGATCCTGAACAGAAGGTCATGATCATGACATGAAGCAGAAATTGCCTCGTCTCAAGACCCAGAAGGAAAAATAAAATTTTGAAAGGAGTTTCTAGAAGTGCGATTATTTACTTAGTGTCATTTTCACCATTAACACAAATCAGGATATCCCAATAAAATATATTCTCACCCTGCACAAATCCATAAATCCTCATTTACCGCTGTACCATGCAAATCCTCTCTATCTGCTCCCTCCCAAAGTGCTCCTATCATGACCTCATCCGTCATCATGAAACTGTAATTTCACCACCACAACCAACAAAAATATAAAGGACCCATAACTCCAGAGACCCAGACTAAAATCTTCGTCGCTCCATTGCAGAGAATTCAATTTGGTTTTGAGAAAGGAGAGGAGAGGAAAACAGAGGAAGAAGAAAAGATGGGTAGCTTAGAAGAAGAACAGCTCGTTCAGATGGTCTACGATTTCATTGAATCAGAATCACCTTCTTCCACCTCTTCTTCCTCTTCAGAAAACCAACCTCTTCATCATCAATCTGCATACCTCACTTTACAGGTATGGTGGAGCTTGAAATTCCTCCGGTGTGTTTTGATTTCCATCTTTACATGCTGTAACTTTTTTTCTGATGCTTCGGTTTGTTTCCATCTTTTTTATGGGTTCTAGGAACTTCTAGGGACTGTTAAAGATTCTGAGTTTCATATACTTGAAAAGGTCCTGAAGTACCTGAGAAATATAACTGCTGGGAAGGTTGCTAATCTGAACAAATGGATAGTAATGAGGTTGAGAATGGATGGATATGATGCTTCTCTATGTAAAACTTCCTGGGCTACCACCTGCAACTGTCCTGGAGGTCTCTCTCTTTCTCTCTCTCTCTCTCTCTCATTGCCCATGTTTAAATTTCTCCTCTTCTTCTTCTCCCCTTTGCATGGATCTGGGGATTCATTTATTTGAAGAATTAATATTGTTTCCTTCATCTTTTTTCTGGGTATTACAGGTGATTATGAATACATTGATATTGTGATGGAGGATGAGAATGGCGGTCCATTAAGATTGATAATAGACATAGATTTCAAATCTCAGTTTGAACTGGCGAGGCCTACTCCAACTTATGCACAACTCTCGGACATTCTTCCTTCCATCTTTGTTGGAAGTGAAGACAAACTTAACGAGATAATCTCTCTCCTCTGCACAGCTGCTAAACAGTCGCTAAAAGAGAGTGGTCTCCATATTCCTCCATGGAGAACAACCAGCTACATGCAGTCCAAGTGGCTCTCAGAGTGTCAGAAAGTTCCAATCACACCCTTCATGACTTTCAGTAGAGATTTTGACAGGACTAACAAGGAGGGGAATAACAGTGGTCATTCCTCCAATTCTAGCAAATGGGCACCTCCAATTGTGAAGCCTAAGAGCAAAGATTTGGGTAGTGGGTCTGGCTTGTCTAGCCAATTTTCCAAAATGAGTATAGACTGCTGCTAATTTCATCTCTGGATCTGAGTTTAGTTAGAGGATATGAAGTGTAAAGTGTTTTTTTTTTTTCTCAGTTTTTAACCCTTTGAAGGATCTTTTGTTATAATGACTTGTAACACTTTTTTGTTTACAGCTATGAACATTTTGCTTTTGCTTCTGTAAGTTTGATCCTTCTCTAATCAAAAGCTTTGCTGCAATTTGCTATGAAAAGAAAGCACCAAAAGGTTGAGGCCACCCAAATGAAATCTGTTGATTTCATAAGAAATGTCTTGTTCTGTACACCTTAACGGGGTTTTGATTTTTCATGTCTATTTTATTCCTTAAACTATCACTATTTTATATTCTTTAATTTTTTACTATATCTTAGTTGATTTTAATATTCCAACTTCTGAATTATCTATCTATTATTGAAGGTATCTTTGTATTAAAAAATAAAAATAATTTATTGTACAATTGTTGCCGAGCAGTCCTAGGTTGATTCATTGTCAGATCCAAGGGAAAACGATAAAAACCAGGAGGAGAAATGGGTTGGGAGATTAAACAGGTGGTTTTGATGTTTGGTCACTAGAAATTTGTTACCTGATTTATCTCCTGTCCCAAATGGGATCAAAGCCCAGCCCTCAACGGCAGCCTAAAATGGGATCAAAGCCCAGCCCATTTATCTCCTGTCCCAAAAAAATGAGAAAATAAAAAAGGAAGTTTTGTGTTCTGATCTAATGGGGCCTCACATGATTAAACTCTTTGATTCCGTCAAATTAGGATCTATCAATCGGCCCTTTAACTCACTCCATCTGGTAGGTACCTTGTTGAATTGCGAAAATATGTTTCTGACCCCCCTATTAGAACATTTACAAGGCCCATGATTGAATGGATGATCTCAACAAGCATTGACAATCATGATTTCTAACCATTGGATTTACACATTTTCTAGACCTTAATTGTGCATTTTCACTCAATCTAAAACAGCAAAACCAATTAAATTATGATTTGAGCCGACTTCTGATTTGGCCTAGGACAAATTTTCATGGTCTTAGAGATTGATTGATGGGTCCTAATCCAATTGACTATGAAACACATGGCAAGATAGGGCCCTTTTGTGGGCCTCCGGCCTATTTCCCCAAACTTTTGCCACAGAGAGAGAGAAAAAGTATTGACAGAGACTAGGGCTGACATGGACAAAACAATTATAGAATGGTTGGTAGGGAAGATCCCTTATCAAATGGATGGTTCAAATTTGCTATGCCATCCCCTTATGTGGCAAAGACCAGAATATCATTCAGACTATTTTAAATTTTTTAGTACTTGGATATATCGTATACTGGATAGGAAAGCAAAGTAAGTGTAATTCTGAAGGTAGAACAAAAGAAAGAAAGCAAATCCGGTGGTCTCAAAACTAGTGGCACCAACAAAACAAGGGGAGAGTGTCGAAATTTTTTAATGGTGGTGTCAAAGTTCCATTTCACCTCGCCATTTTTTTTTCTTCCCTCGCGAAATAGTCTAAAGAAGACATCAATTTGGTTTCCGTGTACCCATCAAACTACAATCTGTGAATTTGGATTCTGGCCTTTTATGTCCTAGTTGCTATAAGGTTTTCTAATTAGTTTCTACTAGAAGAGCAGCCCCGTGTCTGGTGTTAGAAAGATGACCATGTTTTACATGAGAGAGATTAAAGATTTTTTAATACAAAGAAAAGTTGAATCGGTTGAGTAAGCCATGTTTTGTATTTTTTATTCTTAAAAAAAAAAAAACCCATAATATTCTAAGCGGGTAAAGAAGCAAAAGAGAGTAACTTGTGTGGACAAATAGATTCAGCTATAACAACACTCTACAGAATAATTTGCAATTAGCAATGTTATCGGATTCGAACTGAGTTGGTCAGACCGCCCCAATCCCTAATAAGTAGCCAAAAAGGGTTTCTATTTTAGTAAAAAGATAGACAGTATACCTTGTAAATTGAAATCTTGATTAAATATGCAATAACTATTTGGAGATTTTGAAAAATAATTAAATCATTTTACTGTTCTTGAAAATGTTGATTACATCAAATTTATCCCATTTACAGATTATTTTAAGTTTTTTATGTAAAGTTATTTTAAAAATGGATCTAGAATAATTTTCAATTTTTGTAATTTTCGTATAAGTAAGCTTAGCTTAATGGTCAAAATGTTACAGCTGTGACCTAATTGCCAGAATGGTTGTCTGGTCTTAGACTTAAAACATTGATAATTTGTTCATGCATTTTTACAAGGTTAGACTAAAACTTCGCTAGAGATTGTTTTAACAACCGTTTGGTTCATGTTACTATCAAAGCATCCTTTTTAACAGATGCATGAACCAATAAATGGTTGAAGATTGTCCAATGCAGTTCGATGCTTGAAACATGACACAACCTTTTGGATCAAAATTCATTAAGATTAAGGTTCAAAAAATTGACATGTATCGGCTTGTATGGGCTGATATATATCATATCGAGAGATTCTTGATATGCCCTTACAGAAAATGTATTAGGGTTTTGACCAATTCAAAGGTGGATGGACCTTAAATCAGCCTATCTTAACTAAATTAAAAAAAAAGAAAAAAACTAAAAAACAACTGATTCGACGTATCGAACGAATCGATATTTTGAACGTTGTATTTGGTATTATTGTAATTTCCATGTTAAATGTTTTCAATTGATTTATATAAATCGGTAGTCACATATGAAAGTCACACTTTAATTAGAATGATAAAATTTAATTACCCCTAAAACAATGAAAGTCACTTTAATTGTAATTTCACAAATGCACGCATTTTTAATGTAATACCTATTTACGTTTCAGATATAATTATATAAACAACAATGGTACCAAAGGATAATAACAAGAAAGAAGCTAGTGGGACAGTGAGGCTCAATCAATTATTTATTTATTTCAATATCTTACCTATAAAAAAATCAATTATTTCAATCTCACATCTTATCTATTGACCCTTGCAATGGGTTCATCGGATTGAAGGGTTTGGTCTAGGCTAAGTGGCTAACTAAAAGACTATAAATGAAGATATATGATCAAGTAAATGATAGTGGAAAAAGGGGTATCTAATTTGACAAGGAATATTAATCAGTAAATCGAAGAGAAGAGAAAAGTGACAGCAGTGAAGTTTTGTGAAAAACAAAAGCAAGAATGTAAAAAGGATAAGCTTTTACTTTTTTCACAATATATTAGGTTTGATGTTTGATGGGATGTGTGAGAGTGGAAGGCCCACCGAGAAAAAATCTTGAGTTTTGCATTAATATCATGCAAAATAGCAGTGGGCAGCCATCGTGTACTTCCCCAGATGGAGGAGACTGATTAGATGGGCGGCCATCATTTGAAAGGAAATAGAATCGCGGCTGAATTTACTTGACAAAGTACTTGTGTGTAAAGGCCTTTGATGAGCTACCACTGTCTTCATCTTCCCATTACAAACCAGAACAGGACAGCAATCACTAATCAGCAATGGTTTTCAGTTTTCTACTTCCGATTAAAAACTGTTTTTCTTTACAAAGTCAACAGAGGATGCAGCAGATGAAATTACACTTCCAAACAAGCAGTTATACTTGTACCCCACTAATTCATATCATTCCTTGATGTCAAATGCTCCATTTATAATTAAATGACTGTAACCATCTGATCTCTGCCAATTTTTTAGGGATTGTTGTAAATCCTTTCCACCTGTCAAAATAAATGCTAGTAAGTAGTAACTACTTATCCTTAGATAGAATTACATATCTGTTTATGTATCAAGTGTCTCTTGGCGCACCTCCATTATGTAGCCCATTTACTAGAGGGGAGAAAATGACAAGTTGTGGGGACCCATATTACTAATTTAGAGAATGGGTCCAGAGCGCCTAACTCTACTTTTAACCTATTTACCATAGCAGATAGCACCATAATAAGAGGAACCCCCCTCGAGACACTAAAAAAATAAAGGACTGATTTGGGCACGATCGGCGCATCCTTAGTGAAAAGACAAGAATCAATACGAGACATTGAGACAGTGCCCCTTTTATCAAAGTTAGGGTGTGTCAAAATTACTCTCACGACTCTTGTTTTTATGCTTAGGGCATCATCGGCTAAAAGGCTAAAGCATTGAATTCAAGCTAGCTTAAGTACAACTGTAAAAAGGTAGGTCCTCTGTGATGCCACTGCCGGACTGCCGGTTGAAGGCTTCCAATAATGCCTAGATCTGAAACCATTTGGCCGACACATGAAGGAGAGTCATCTGCATCGAGCCAGAGCCAGGCCCATCTACATTTATTTAGGTTCACAAGGTGAACCCACGAGTTTGATTAAGAGCACCTGACCTCCCAAGGCCAGACCTCCAAAAACCATGTTTTCTGCTTTCTGGTTATGAAAACACCCTTGAATCCCGGAGCTAATCAAAACCCTCCTTACTTTTGCCCTTTTTCTTTCAGTTGTTGCTGTTGTTGTTTTTCCTTGTAGGGCCGAATACACCCACACTGCCAATTTGAGGACAGTCATGTTGGTGTTGATGGTTACAGTGATACAAGCCAGAGCCTTGGAATCTGCTGTTAACGACTGCTGTAAGCTAAATAGCTAATGCTGTGTGGGCTATCAGCATTGGGCGGTTGTCCCATGAACTTGAATATGTGGCCTTTAATTCTGACGAGCCCAAAGAGTTGTCTAAAGCTGATGGGCAACATAGCATTGGGTTGCAGCATTTGTTCACAACAGATCCGGACTATGCATGTCAGTTTTTAGACCTGTAGCTTTATAATGTGTGGAATGGAGAGAGCCACATTTTAAATTTTTAATGTTTATAAAAAAAAGTTACATGAACGATTTACATGGTCTCACAGTACTCTCCCATTAGATGGATGAGAGAGAGAGAGAGAAGACCTCTATTGGGTGTAAGCCTTCTCAATTCTCATAGTTCATAGGTAGGATTGATCCAATGCTATGTCCTGCTCTGCTGAACATATACAACAAATGGGGAGTTTTGAGGGTTCTACTACCCCAAGTGCAGCCTCCCTTTACAACATTACATACTTCCCATATTACTAATTTACTAATATAAGTGAAAAAGAAGAATAACATAAATCTAACTTGTCCCACAAATTAATTAGGAATCTATGTTTTGATATAAACCCATCAAGGGTTTTGTTAGCTTCCCACAATCTTCACTATGCATTTAAAAGAAACCCAAACATCTAGCCTTTTG